CACTGAAACCACGGAAGCAGAATCTATGGGAATTGGAATCCAGAACTGTGTTTGGTTTAGACAATTGCATCTGGGGAACTTGCTTGTCAAGGAAAGTTGTGCAATTAAAATACAATATCACTTCTGTTCTTTAACTTTTAATTACACTTTTCTTCTCTAGTCAAAAGTAGAAACACTTACAATTCAATGTCATGTCATTCAGTTGGCCCATACAATCTTAATTACAGGTTGGAAAAGTTATTGATCAGTCACATAGAATTACTGATAGCTAATACAAAATGTTCAGATTAAAATGAAAAGGTGAAAGATTAACAGACTTGTTACCAACATATACTGAAGAATGCTCACCCCCCAAATTCTACACTGACCATGATGTGATTTGACATACCCAAAAGTCAAGAAGAAGACATCAAATTCTAAATGGCTTCCAAACTGCTGTTAACATAATTATATTAAAACAAAATTGAAAAGTATTAAAAACATAACCCTCATACAAATACACAGTGAAAACTAAAGGTTTTATATAACTTCTTAATAAGGGAACCAAAAATTTGACAAAGTCAGTTAAACTGCAAGAGAATTTGAATTAGGCAAAGCCTTCTTAGATACACCACCAAATCATCACAAGCAACATTTTAAAAAAATAGATAAATTGGACTTGACCAAAATGAAAAAAAAAAAAAATTGTGCTTCAAAAGACACAGTTAAGACAGTGAACTCACAGAAAGGTAGAAATGTTTATAAAGCATATTAATAAGGGACTTGTATCTAGAACATGTAAAGAATTGTTACAACCCAATAATAAAATGACAAACAGCCCAATTGAAAACTGGACAAAGGATCTGAATAGACATCTCTCCAAAGATGCAGAAATGGCCAATATGTACATGAAAAGATGCTCACGATCATTAGCCACTAAGGAAATGCAAATCAAAACCACAATGAGATACCACTTCACACCCACTTGTGTGGCTGTAATGAAAACAAACAAGCAAAAAGGGGTCAAAGACTAGTGTTGGCGAGATGTAGAGAAACTGCAACCCTCAGACACAGCTGTCAGAAATGTGAAATGATGCAGCTGCTCTGGTAGACAGTCTGGCAGGTCCTCAGAAAGTTAAAGACACAGTTAGTACGTATGATCTGACAATTTCAGTCCTAGGTGCATCTGAAGAGAGATGCAAACATATATTCAAACAAAAACTTGTACATGAATGTTCATAGCAGCATTACTGTTAGTAAACAAAAAGTGGAAACAACCCCAATGTCCATCAACGGATGAATGGAAAAATGAAAACTGGCATAGCCGTGCACTGGCATGTTACTGGGGAATAAAAGTACTGACATGTGCTACAACATGGATATATATCTTGAACACATTATTCTATGGGAAAGATGGCAGTCACCAAAAGACCACGTTATTATGAGTCCATTTATATGACATGTCCAGAATAGGTAACTTCATGGAGACGAAAAAGTAGATCAATAGTTGCCTAGGGCTGGGGGACTGGGGTAAAATGGGGAGTGACTGCTAATGGATACATTAGCTTTTTGGTGTGATGAAATGTTCTAAAATTGATTGTGGTGATTATTGCACAACTCCATGAGTGAAGTAAAAACATTGAGTTGTATATTCTAAGTAGGTGAACTGCATGGTATGCATATTATATCTCAATAAATCTGCTATTAAATATGTAAACTTTGAACATACTTAACAAATAAATATAAAATTAAACTGAAAAACTGAGGTTTTCATAGTTATTTTTTTAAAAAAGAATGAGATTGGCAAATTAGAGATAAATTTGTTCAATGTCCTGCCAGGTAATAAAACTGCAACATTTGAAGTTTTATTTTTTATTAGAGAGGAGGGAAAAAAATCACACTTATCTAATTTCTATATGTTAAATTCTAAGTTGACATGATTTGTAAAATATAGCAAATGTATATTGTAAGTCAACCGAATTTGCACTCTTCTAGGTTTGTTAGACATCACCCTATGATATAGTGAATGCCCCAATCATCTTTTGTCCTAGTCCCATGTCTTAGATAATTTTTCTTATCAAGGATTTCTCGTGAGCATGCCACAGTGATTTTGTCCCTCAGTTTTATTAAGCAGAAAATGACCAGTTATTTCATCCTAGCTAAATACCTGAAACAGATCATCTAAAAGAGAAGGAATTTCAGAACTACAGTCACAAGAAATCATAAAAAACAAAGGAAAACTTGACTAACCTACTTTTAAAAGTTACTAAGATTTTTTAAACTACATTAATTAGCAACCACAGTATTAATAATTTACCATATTACTATAAAAGAAGATATAGTACTTGCAAGACAGAAGCAAAGATGCTATAAGAGTTGTTTAGATTTACACATTCAGTAAAAGAGAGCATTAATGAGTGACGTAGCTGAATGACAAACCTGTGACTAGTGAAGACAGACTCATAGAGCTGCCAAATCATAACAGCTAAATCGCACAATTGATGAGAAAGAAAGAAAAACCAACAGAAACAGGAAACAGGCCAAGGTAACCCAATTTAAGAATCATCAGCATACTAGAGGTCAAACAAATATGCATGTGGAGTAGAAACTTTATTTGGGAAAGGAAGTAAAGACAATCTTCTGGGCGCTAAAAAGAGTAAACTACAATGCAGCTAGCAGAGAGTCGTGAAAAGCTGTATATAACAAGTGACAAGCCATATGTCACTGAAATGTCCCTGGGAATCTATGTATTTTAAGTACAAAATATAGGAAGAAAAGTTTTGTTGCTTTTTTTTAAAGCAAGGAGAGGAAGAATATAAAGGCATAATAGGATATTCTATCCTATATCTTTATATTGATGGAATTGCCTGAGAATAGTCACTTAGATGGATTTATAAACAGAAAGTCCTGGATGAAATGTGTGTCAGACCCCTCTGAAAATAGTACATGTATGTCTTGGAAGTGAAAGGCAGAACTTGGCAAATGTTCTAATTTTGCCAGAGGTTCCACCAAGGAATTTTCCTTGGCCAACAAGCAGGAGTAAAAATGCAACCTACCTCCCCTCTCCACCTGCCAGCAACTAGGACGGTACAGAGAGAAGGGCACTGAGACCAAAGGCCCTTGTCCTGCCACCACAGACCTTGGGCCAGGCACTTGTTTACTGCTAAGAGAAGATATAAATGAAATAACTGGTGGCTGAGTTGAAAGTAGTCTGCCCATCTGTTCCTTTTGACTGTGCATCTCGGCTTTGGGAGCCTGGCAAGCGGGGGCCAGGCTGCATCTAACTGTAGAGATTCGGGTGGATGCTCAAGTCCAGGAGACAGGGAAGCTTGGAAGGCGACCAGCCCGAAGCTAAAGGAAACGGAGCCATTAGCAAGAATGCGATCTGGCAGAGCTGTTTTTCTCTTAAAAGCAGAAAAGTAGCTATTTAAGGAGCTACAGAAACTGAAACAATTTATCAATGAGCTAAAAATGTCCAGACAAGGAGCCTTGGAGATTTTGAAAGCCCTTGAGAGATACCTGAAAAGGACACGTAGATTGCAACATTAACAAAATGCTGAGTTAGAGATGTCAATCTTAAAGATTTAATTAAACAATATTTTGAAAAATATAAGCTATAAACAGTAATTTTTAAGACTCTAAACTGCCTCAAAGAGATAAGCTGACACTAGGAGGTTGAATACCAGATGATTTCTGAAGGTATAGTCAAGATTTTTTAAATATGCTATAAGTAATGAAAACAACTGTGACATAATATCTATTTAAAAATGGTTTAATCAAATGTGAAGGTATCCTTTTTGAGTGGAAAACAGTCTTTAAAGAAAGGTACGAAAGACTAGGAAAAATAATAGAAAACGTGCCAGGCAAAGAAAGTTAGAAATTTACCAATTAAAACATATAAGGTAAATAAGTGAAATAAAGCAAAGATCACTGCTGGCATAAAAACCAAATCCAACAACCTGTTGTCCCTAAGAGATACAAGTAACCAAAATATAAAAGGCCCTTAAGTGTTTTTTTTCGTTTTTGTTTTTTGGTTAATCCTCGCCTGAGGGTATTTTTCCCACTGATTTTCAGAGAGTAGAAGCGAGAGAGGGAGGAGGAGAGAAACATCCATGTGAGAGACACATTGACTGGTTGCCTCCCTCATGCACCCAGATCAGGGGCAGGGAGCGAACCCCAAACCCAGGTACGTGCATTTGACCTAGAATCGAACCTGAGACCCTTCAGTGCGTGGGCCAATGTTCCAATCACTGAGCCACACCAGCCAGCACTACATGTTGTTTTAATTTAAGATTTATATATCATGATAAACTTCCCCAAATTGAAGGGTTACTCTTTACTCTTATGAAAATGATACTAGACGTTAAATATATGAAACTATAAAGATTTAAGAATAGGGCACATCAATGTTTAAGCATTATAGCAACAATATATCCTGAAGAAAAGATATTTAAATTCTCAAATATAATCATATCTGAAAGCCTCAGAACAACATCACAGCAGACTGAAAAGATAAAGAATTAAAAATCTTCTCAATGAACCAGACCCACTGATCAGCATCCCCTCTTGATCCAATACCGCTAAATCTCTTAGGAACAAATGCTAAGATATAACTAGCTATATCTTAGCAAAAATTGCTGTTCATTTCTGTTTGTCACTTTCAACCTCCCCACTCATTTTAACCTTACAAATAGTTATGTTCAATCGACCTCTATACAACTCTGTGCATTGTTCTGTAACATTTGCCACTTAAGAGATATTTATAATTGATGATAAGTGCTCAATAAAATGCTTGTTGAATAAATATATATATGCCACTATGAGAACATTAGCAGTAATATGGCAAAATAGCACCATTTGTTGAAAAGAACTCCAAATGAATAGCAATTTCTTTTCTCCCCATAACCTGAGTAGAACACAACCCGCCTTTCTTCAAAATCCAACTTATTTAAGATTACAAATCTACTGGACAAATACCAAGTGAAGTTTTTGTGGTTTTTTTTAAAGGTATTTTTACTGACCTTGTGAGAATGTAAGGGGAGAATGAAGCTGGATTATCTTGCTCTGAAAAGAGGGGCATGGACCCTCCCATTATCCACAGGCGGAAGTACAAGACAACGGTCACCTTCAGGGGAAAGAAGATCTGGTAAGAAAATCATCCCTTGTCAGGGTAAGGCCCATCTTTCTGGAGGATACTTCCAGGTGCTTTACAAATATTTTGCTTTGCAAACACTTTCTCTAGTAAACACTTCTATAAAATTTTAACATTTAAAATGAGTAGGAAAGAGGGAAATAGCTGGGGAGTTGAAGAGCAAATAATGAAGGTGAAGAGGGAGCAGCCAGCCGGTTCTCACTCAGCGTCAGCATCACGCACTGGCGCATACGCTTGTTAGTAAACTTACCAGTGAGCTGTGAGGCCCAGGAGTTGAACCTGTCATTGCTCTGCCTGCCCAATTTCATAACCATTCCACTCACATAAGCCCATACAAATTTAAAATATGATAGATAATACTGAGTCTTTTCAAAATGAATTTATTGGGGTGACACTGGTTCACAAAACCATACAGATTTCATGTGTACAACTCATCAAAACATCACCTGCACACTGATCGTGCGCGGTGCCCTTTGTCCCAAGCAAAGTCTCTTTCGGTCCACATTTTCCCACCCATTGCCCATCCTCACCGTCCCTTTCCCTCCAGCTAACACCACACTGTAGTCTGTGTCTATGTTTATATATATAAAATTTTTTTTAATACCTTCACCTTTCGTCCAGTCCCCCGACCTCTCTCCCCCCGACAGCTGTCAGTCTGTTCTATGTACCCATGCTTCTGCTACTATTTTGTTTGTTAGTTAATTTTGTTCATTAGATTCCTCATATAAGTGAGACCATACGGTACTTGTCTTTCTCTGCCTGGCTTATTTTACTTAGCATAATACTCTCCAGGCCCATCCATGCTGTCACAAAAAGTAAGATTTCCTTCTTTTTTACGACCGNTTTCCTTCTTTTTTATGACCGAATACAATTCCATTGTGTAAATGTACCATGGCTTTTTAGTCCACTCATCGACAGGTGGACGCTTGGGCTGCTTCCAAATCTTGGCTATTGTAAATAACGGTGCATATATTCTTTTGAAGGTTTTTTTGGATATATTCCCGGGAGTTAAAAGGCAGCTCCATTTTTAATTTTTTGAGGAACCTCCATACTGTTTTCCACAGTGGCTGCCCCAGTCTGCATTCCCACCAGCAGTGCACTAGGGCTCCCCTTCTCCACACCCTCGCCAGTGCTTGTTATTTGCTGATTTATTGATGGAGCCATTCTGACAGGTGTGAGGTGCTAACTCATTGTGGTTCTGATTTGCATCTCTTTGAGCATTTTTTCATATGTGTATTGGCCATCTGTATGTTCTCTTTGGAGAAGTGTCTATTCCGGTGTTTTAGCCATTTTTCAATTCGGTTGTTTGTCTCCTTAGCGCTGAGTTGTATAAGTTCTTTGTAAATTTTGGAAATTAACCCCTCATCTGATATATCCTTGGCAAATATGTTCTCCCATTCAGTGGGTTCCCTTTCCACTTTGTTGATGGTTTCTTTTGCTGTGCAGAAGCTTTTTAGTTTGATGTAGTCCCATTTGTTTACTTTTTCCTTTTTTTGCCTTGCCTGAGGAGATATATTGGCAAAAATATTGCTACAAGAAATGTATGAAATTTTACTGCCTATGTTTTCTTCTAGGATTTTTATGGTTTCAAGACTTACATTTAAGTATTTTATCCATTTTGAGTTTATTCTTGTGTACGGTGTAAGGTGGCCTAGTTTCATTTTTTTACATGTACCTGTCCAATTTTCCCAACACCATTTACTGAAGAGACTGTTCTTACCCCACTGTATGTTCTTACTTCCTTTGTCAAATACTAATTGACCATAAAGGTGTGGGTTTATTTCTGGGTCCTCTATTCTGTTCCACTGATCTATATGCCTGTTCCTGTGCCAATACGATGCTGTTTTGATTATTATGGTTTTGCAGTATAGCTTGATATCAGGTAGTGTGATACCTCCATCTTTGTTTTTCTTTCTCAAGATTACTGAGGCTCTTCAGGGCCTTTTGTGGTTCCATACGCATTTCTGGAATCTCTGTTCTAGGTCTGTAAGATATGCCATTGTATTTTAATAGGATTACATTGAATCTGTAGATTGCTTCAGGCAGTATGGATATTTTAATGATGTTAATTTTTCCTATTCATGAACATGGTATTTGTATCTTCCGCTTATTTGTATCTTCCTCAGTTTCAATACTGCTCAGTCTTAATGAATACATTTGGAAATGTTGCAACCCTTGAATGCCCTGAAGCAGAACACTCATGAAGGGTTATTTCTAACAGCCCCAGGGAACCTGTTTTGTGTCACCCGGTGGAATTTTATCACTAACTGGTGCTATCCTGTTGCAAAGATACTGGGCAATTCTTCACAGAAATGTTTTGCCTCTTCTGCTGAAATTGTCCTGTCAAAACTCTGTGCTTCATTCAGCTTTTTCATACTCCTCTTCTTCCATAAACATGTTGTAGCGTTGAGAAAAAACCCTCACAGTAATTGTTAACATTAAATTCAAAGACATTTTCATATGTTTTCTATCAAAACTTATTATAAATTTTGACAGAGAATTTATGAGAAACAGCAACAGCATAAGGAGATTGGTCTCCTAACCTCCTTTAATAGAAACATCCAGCAACATAAAAAGATGATTAATGTGATGGTACCAAAGAGGGCCCCCAACAATTCCTACCCTCCTTGTATAAGCATTCTTCTTTTCCTATCAAGAAGTGAAGTCAAGTGTTCCACCCCTTAAATCTGGGTTGGTCTCAGCAGACTGGAGACAGACTCACAGATAGAGAGCAGGCAGACAGCTCTGGTGGGAGGGGGTGTTGGGGGTGCATAGGGATTGAGCAAAAAAGAAAAAAAAAAGGAGAAAGAA